ATCAAAAAGACATGGAAGATAGAACATACAGATGCAGAGAAAAAAATATTACAACATTACGCAGAGAAAAGCAGAACTTTCACGATAGGATACGCCAGTAAGTTACCTTTATTTTAAAATTTGTTCATTTTTTTCTATCGGATAGATATCTGGCAATATGAGAAATTAATTCTAGCTTTTTATCCTCTCTTTTACTTCGTTCTAGTTATGTTTTTATTATTTGTCCAAAATAATGCTTTTTTCCTTCATTTTTTTCGAAATATTTTCGAGAGCATTATACAAGTAAGAATGTGTTTGCAAATTTTTTTTTGAACGTGCAGTCCACATTTTCGTTATTTTTATTACATAAATTCCGTTTTCTTTCTGTTAAAATATTGTAACTTTTGAAACATAGAGGAAAATAAAAGGAAAATAACTGATTTATATTATGTAGGAAAATAAGTGACTTATATTTCCAGTTGCTTTATATGCGTCATGGCTATTCTACTCAACGCCATCTATTGCCGTTAGCGGAATCTATACGATTTTACCGACAAACAAAACGTACACTGCCAAGTTCCTATATCGCATAGAACATGTTCTTGATATAGACAAATATTTCGAACTGTTGATGCTTCACGGGTTTATTAGCGTATTCTACATAGTTTCTGTGGTGATAGCTGTCGACACAACGTTTACACTTTACACGCAGCATATCTGCGCATTGTTCGAATGCTTACGGTAAGTTGCCCTCGCAAAGAAGGTTGTATCAAGATCTTTTTTAAAAAATTACGGTATTATAATTTTTAAGCAGTTATAACATAGATCGCATACGAGGCTCGGATTTTGTATTACTGGAACCAAATATTAAGGATGATGAAGCATATCGTAACATAATTGGCTGCATTAAATCGTATCAACATGCCTTAAAGTTAGTATTAACGTAGTTGTGAGTGTGTATCTGTGTGTGTGTGTGTGTGTGCGTGCGTGCGTGTGTGTGTGTGTGTGTGTGTGTGTGTGTGTGTGTGTGGCGTGCGCGCAATACTTTCATAGCATATTTTAGAGATAAAGTATAGAGTAAAAATCCGAATACGCGAAAATATTAAGGCTATAACTTTTTTAAATTATAAGCTAATTTTAATTACTTATAAGTCATAAACTATTTTACTTTTATATGTTTCTATTATTATTTCTGGATTCTTTGGAATATTCTAAGACGAAAACCCTAATACGAAACTGTCAAGATTATAATAATTTGATGAATTATAATTGAAAAACAATTAGCTTTGATATTTTCATATTAGGATTTTTTACTATAGAGGAGATCGGGATCAGTAGACTATAGAGGTAAGTAGAATAATCTCAAGGTTACATTAAAAACAAAGCATGCGAGACACGCGTAAACGTGTATCTATTTTACCTCTTTGGAATACACTCTAAAAATATTGTATGGTAGTTGTTAGACACCCTTTATATATATATATTACACAGGATGTTCTGCAATTTTTTGTCGAGCGCTTTTTGTGTAGATAGAGCGCACTAAACTGACAATGAGTCGAAAAGTCCTTTACCATTATTGTTTTTTATCATTATTGTCCTGTTAACCATTTAATTTACTATATCAAATATATAAATTAAAACATTTTGCTAGTTACTCTAATTAAAACATTTTTTAAATATTGTCAATTTTGTAGTAATATGTGTTACGTACACATTAAATAACCCGCAAATTGACATAGTCGTAAGTTACTATCCCTAATGTAGCGGCGACATCTAGTTGTTCACGACGTACACACTTCGTACTTCCCGTTGTTAACGTTCGCGGCATGAGGTCCTCCCGTTACAATGAGTCGAAAAGTCATTTACCATTTTGCAATTTTTTTAATGATTAAGATATTAATTATTAAAAATTATTTACTTTGTTCTCATAGAACTTCTAGAATTTTTTCAGAATTTTTTATCAACTTTTTAATATTGCAATTTCTTATAGGTATACATACATGGATGTGTGTGTGTGTGTGTGTGTGTGTGCGTGTGTGTGTGTGAGACATGCACGCACGCACGCACGCAACTTGCACAATACGATAGAATACACAAATTATTTGTAAAGCACCAAATTTCCAAGTTTACTGAATCAATTTAATTAAATGTTAAATTTGCAGACTTCATGTTATATTAAATTTAATCACCTTCATACACAGTTTACATACATAGTATACATTACATGACATACATTAGATTTGATTAGATTAGGTCCCCTATAAGATTTAATAATGTTTATACATTAGGTTTATTTAAATAGATCATGGTCGAAACGTCTGTTTTAATGTATATTGTATTATAAGGATTATTAAATATTAACAACAATCAGCTTTTGCTCTTAATCCTTGATATCTTTTAAATTGTTCTATTCAATTAAGCTTTATGTATTAATTGTGATAAATAGACTAAATTATTTCATTATTTCATTATTTTACATATAGATTTTCTGATGTGCTTTCATCTAACTATGCAACATCATTTCTCTTTCTACTGGGCAATGTAATTATATCCTTGAGCTTCGGCGCGGCTGAGGTAAATATTTAAATCATATAATATGTGGTAGCTTTAAACGATATTTTTTAATTTCAAAACGTTTAATAAAATTGCGTAATTTAAGTTGCTAATGGTAAACAATCAACTGGAAGAATTTGTCAAACTTCTCGCTGTTACTTTAGGGCAATTATTACACATATATTTCCTAAGTTTGATTTCTCAAAGATTGATCGATCACAGCAGCGGACTTCAAAACGTAATGTACGCGATTTAATTACATTTGTTAGTGATATTTAAGTAATATAAAAAAATATGGTAAAAAAAAAAGAATATTAAATCAGAAAAAAAACATACCTCATATCTATTTCAGTTTTGTATATTTATTTTTCGCTTTTTAAACAATTAAGTAGTCAATGTCGTCATTTTGTAGATTAAAATTACATAAACAACTAAAGTGTAAAATGCATTGACAGTTACAGCTGCGATTGGTACAAGATTTCGAGGAGATCGAAACAGCTCTTGAGATTTACTTTGCTGCGTACTACTAAGCCCTGCCAAATAACAGTTGGTAATATGTTTGTAATGTCGATGGAGACTTTTAACTCGGTACGTGTAAACGTAATATTATTTTGGTAATTATTTAAAATATAATAATGTAATATTATTTTCAGATCTTAAAAGTATCTTTATCGTACTTCACGATGCTTATGTCACTACAAGTATCGTAACTGAAGGTTTGTAATGGAATTATAAATTGTGTAGTCTCTGGCGTATCAATATCATTATTGTCCTCGTCTATATTAATCATTTAATTCAGTATATCAAATATATAAATTAAGACATTTTGCTAGTGCACTAATTAAAACATTTTTTAAATATTGTCAATTTTGTATTGATATGTGTTATACGTACAATTTAAATAACCCGCGAATTGACATAGTCGTAAGTTACTAGCGCTAATGTAGCGGCGACATCTAGTTGTTCAGGACGTACACATTTCGTACTTCCCCTTGTTAGCGCTCGCGGCATGAGGTCCTCCCATTACAATTCGAAAAGAGTCTCACGCTGAGACTTAGTGCGGTATAATAAAGTATAATAAAGCAAGTATATACAATGTTTTTGAGTCTTTTCCTGATAACAACTGTATACGAGCAGTGCACATGCACGTCAAGGTGGAAATAGCGTATGCATACGCACGCGACACAGATCGCCGAGGAAGCAATTCCTCAACAATATGAATATATTATACCTTTAACACAAAATATAATCGTAATGAATAATAATTGACATAAATCGTCATTTTGTTGTCATAATTATTATTTAAATATAAACATAATTATTAAATAATCATTTAAAACAAATGCTAGTTATTTACAATTATTAGATACAATTTTTACAAATTTGTTAATAAATAATTTTATAATAAATATAATTATAATATAGCATAATGATATCTGTCTTCCGCCTCAAAAACTGGATTAAAAAAGTTTTAAGATAAAATACAATCTTTACATGTATTTAACTAAATTGTAAATTTGAATAAAGTAAAGAAATAATTATTACTAGAAATAAAGTTTAATAAAAAATTAGACACAAATTATACATATTTAGCGTAGGTATCTGTAGAGGAAAGTCGTCGATACTAACATAGGTCTCTAAAGTGACACCCCTTTATTTCTCAGAAACTAACTTTATCGCACTTTATTAATACTAATAAAATCATGATCTGCTTAGCTAATTAAAGAAGTACAAACTTATAATTCATGTATTTGTGGCTTATTTCTATACCAAATCAGATAAAAACCAATTCTATGAATCTAAGAAGAAAATTCTTACGGTATTCTTTTGCAAATTGCGTAATTAAAATAATAGTGACTTTATTATTGATAATGATATATAATTTTAAATGTTTATAGTCTGTGTTTATAATGATATATGGTCTTTGTATATTACGTGTCATTGTATTAAAATATTTTTCTTGCGCATACTACATCAACATAATATGTAATATTTTTTAAAAATAATTAAAAATAATAAAATCATCACACTCACATATTGCATGGTAATATTGTCAATGCATGAAGAACGAAGCAGCAAATAATCATCATGGATCTTGCAGTAGTAGATATGTCGTATACATTATTAGATTTTAATAGAAAAGTATAAATTTTAGTATGTATAAGTGTCAAATATATATATTTATACAATATATATTTTCATATTGCAAAACTCTAAGAGATATTTTTAATTTTTGTACTTACAATATAATTATCTTTTGATATTGTTTTAATTTGTTTCGACACATTTCTGTTGAATAAACCATTCATTACTGCACAACTTACTGTTTGCTCTAAATCAAATTATTGCTTTTAACTACTTTATAAATGATAATATTTTTTATTTCACGGTATATACATATTTATCTAAAATAATTGATGTATGGCGACGGACTATGTGGAGTATAACTGCTGTCTTCTCTGTTTTACAAAAGTGAATATATTATTCAGAATTAAACGCTATCATTTGTGTTGCTTTATGCAATGTCAATAGCATGCGAAATTAAAATTGTAAGACTCTACGTGTCGCTCGCTTGCGGGAGGCGGTTCCCCTTTATTACTTATTCCATTTAATTCAACATATTATATGTATATTTCTCTTTGCAAAAGCATCGACAACCCAAGAGAATATTAAATGAACACCGTGCGGAGGGTTGATGGAAACCTTACCTTCAGCTATTCAAGAATTCCGCTTGAAAATGAATCAACCAATGGACGTCTTTGATACCCGATATTTTCGTGTTAACAAGCTGTTGTTGTCGTTTCTCGGCTTGTGGCCAATGCAATCATCGTCTAACAAAAAGAAACTTTTTTATTGTACAATGTTTGGTATATTGATTCTATTACTGCCGCAGGTATAAATTCTTGTACACGAGTTAGAAAAAAAAATTGTAAGAAAATCAATATTGGAATTTAATACAACATCTAAATTTTCTAAAATTGTTAGTAATTTTTGCGCTATTGGAATTACTTTATAATATTACATAAAAAGTTATATATTCCACATTAGATATAGTATAATTTATATTAATAGATTGCATTCTTGTTCAAACGTATGAGAAATTTGAACGACTTTTACGATGTTCTATTAACTTTTCTTGGCACATGTTTATGTCTTTTCAAAACAATTAGTCTCCATTGGCAGACCGAAAAAGTGAGTATGCCGTAATGCATAATGTTTTTTTTCGTCTAAGAAAAATTGTCATGACTGCAGTTTAGGATGCTCGTTCTGCATGTTCATCATGATTGGTGCTTATCGGCAAAATACAATGATATTTGGATTTTAATGGAATACATGGAGAGAAATCGGATATTCACGCTAGTCTACTCAAGTACACCTATACAAAAAAATTTTACGATAGCCACAACCGAAAATAATAATAATTTTCGCCCATCAATACATTTGATTGTGGTAACTGTAAGATAGATTCATCTTTATAACCATAACCGTCAAGATATAAGTGCCAATCTTATACGGTTATATAACATGATTGTACTATAGTTCTTATAACTAAAAAATGTGTATTAATGGGCGACTTTTGGTCGTGGCAACCGTAGTCGTTTTTTCTTTGTAACGATAAGTATTATACTCAATGATCGTTTTACTAAGCAATTATGCAAAGCAATTATGCAATTATGTGTTTCCTTTTATCAGTTTTTGCAAGTACAGGCATAGCCAGTTTTGTGACAACACCACTCACCATACCGTTAGTTGAGAGAATATTAATGTCAAATGTAACAAGATCAAAACGAATGCCACATCCGACGGAGTTCTTCTTGGATATGGAAAAGTATTATTACATTCTTTTGGCAATTACGTTCGTAGGATACGCGGTATGCGGTATGATAGTAATCGCAACTGACACCATCTATTTCGCCCTGCTGCAACATACCTGTGGTACATTAGCTATACTAAGGTATTCTAACTTTGCTTTGGTTTACTTATCGATTTATAATAAAATACAATTTTACTCTTATATAGTATATGAATATATACTTACAGTTATCGTTTGACTGCATACGATAAATCGAAAAAATGTTTCAATCGTAATCCCACATCTAAAGGGGATACAGATGTTGAGAACATGGTACATTGTATACAACTACAAATCAGAATAGAGAGGTTCTTATAAATCAAGCAAAATTAAGATCTATCAGAAAATATTATAAATATGATTTTCCTATTTCTATTTGTTATCAATAGATTAATCTACTTGATTGAGACGACATTCGCGATATGTCTTTTCACTGACGTTGGCTTAGGCGTTCTACTTCAATGTTGCGGATGTGTTAGGGTTATAACATTTAATATACAATTAATATCTATTTAATAAACTATTGGTCCACTATTACATACTGCGACGGAAAATATTCTCGTATATTGTTTTAAAACGAATCGCTAATACAGAATTTTGCAGATTGTGACTCGTACGGAATTGGCAAGAAACGGTCCGCTTGTACTCATTCAATCTATTCGATCTTTTTTCACTAGCTGGCTAGGACAGAAAATAATAGATCACAGTTCTCAAATTTCTGTTGCCGCGTAAGTTATTAATGTAATTAATTATTTATTATTGTAATTATTAATTATTATTGTAGTTATTAATGTAAATAATGATGACTAATTTGAAAATAATAAAATTTTTAGATATAACGGAATATGGTACCAAATGTCTTTAGAAGCAAAAAAGATGTTGTTATTATTTATAATGAAATGTCAAAAACCGTATCACATAACTGTAGCGAAATTATATGCAATCTGTTTGGAAACTTACAGCTCGGTATGATAAAATTCAGTACATAAATATTAGCTGCAAAAATAAGTAAATCTCAAATTTGTATAAATAATTTATTTGGTAATTATTCAGATTGACGGATGATCTTAACCTGGACGTAGTTGTCAAGGTCATGATACTGAGTAATTTTCAAAAAATTTTAGGTATTACGCCGGTCACAGGCGTTCGTCCAAAAGTTATTAACAAATAAAGTTTAAAAAATAATGTCTTATTTCTGAGTTATATTTACCATATGCAATATTGAAAACTACCTTATACACTTCCTGCCTAGAGGCGTTCGATTTTCCATGTGACGGAATTTTCCACTGTACGTTCAAAATTTATTAACAAATTAAGTTTAAATAATAATGTCTTATTTCTGCTATCGTACACCCCAAAGTAGAAGGAAGGTGGAGGTGGAACTTCCTTCATGTGGAAAATCATATGCCAGTCAGTATGTATATAAAGTATATATAGTAAAAATAAGACGTAATTTTTGAACTTAATTTGTTAATAACTTTTGAATGTACAGTGACCGTCTAAAATTTTTGGAAGTCACACAGGGTTATGGCCTTGACATATGATAAGGTCAAGGTCATTAACTCGATGTCCATTAATCTGAATAATTTCCATTTATGTTTTAACAATGCCGAAAATATATAAAAATATTTTATTCAACTTTGCATACACAAAAATTATATTGTATATAAAAAATATACATTTTAATACTACATTATATTTTTAAGTTCATGAGAACATCCGTTTACTACGTTACGGTAATGGTATCATTGAACTCGGACATGTAATCATTTGTAATATGGAGGTCTGTGATTTGTTATCAAGAAGGTAATTATAAATAGATGTATTTTTGTTATCGTATGTATTGTCGAAAATTAGAAAAGATTAAAACAAATTTAAATCTTTTATATTTTTTACAATATTATATTTCTTATTCTAATTTCTTAGTTAATTTTCAATTAAGCTTCTACCTTAATAAATTTAATAAATTATAATAATTTATATGCAATTATATACTCGTGTATGCAGTAAAAAAATTGTGTATTTATGTTGAATTAAACCGTCCACTCACGTTCATTAATAGTTTGTGTTGAATTTTTTAACATATTCGAGTGTTAAATTGACATAATATGAATATGTTATTTAAATATTATTTGTTAAATTGTGATATTCTTAGTGTCAAAATAACACAATTTATGAATAAGTGAACAAATAACATAAACATAAAGCATTTTAAAATGTAAATTTTATGATCACACAATCAATAAAATGTTGATAAATTTTGCATATCATAAATGTCAATTTTAATTAACAAAAAAATATATGTTTCCACAAAAAATATGTCGATTTGTTTCCAAATTGTGTGGCTTCTTGTATTTATTTTTTTATATACATAATATTTTTAACTTTTTAACATATTCATCCTGTGTTAAATTAACTAAAAAATTTGAGTGGACCGTTTGCAATTTATGTTAAATTTGACATAATCTTTCCAACAGTGTCGAAACGTAAAAAAAATATAACTAAAAGTATTCAAAAGTTAGCTACAAATTATGCTTCAAATATTATTACATTATAGAAGCAAACAGAATTCTTTATCGATTATAAAAAATTTATAATTTATTAAATATATAATAATATCAATTATCTAATAATTACGGCAAAAATAACTTCATATCTAATTAAAAACCAAACTGTTTAAACCAAACTGTTAAAAAACAACATAAGTTCCTACATATTCTGAAATAATCTGTCTGTAATGATATATGGTCTTTGTATATAAACTTTCACAGTAAAATGTTTAATATGCCAATAATTAGTCGTATTCAAAATGTCATGAAAATCCAACAACATAAGTTCCTACATATTCTGAAATAATCTGTCTGTAATGATATATGGTCTTTGTATATTACGTGTCATTATATTAAAACATTTTTGTTGCGCATCAACATAATAATATGTAACATTTCTTTAAAATAATGAAAGCGTCACTCACATATTGCATGATAATATTGTCAATGCGTGAAGAACGAAGCAGCAAATAACCATCATGAATCTTGTAGTTGTTAGTATGTCATATATATTATTAGATCTTAATAGAAGAATACAAATTTTAATATGTATAAGTGTTAAATATGTAATATTTATTTATACAATATTTATTTTCATATTACAAAACTTTAAGAGATATTTTTATATTCATCTTTGTACTTCTAATAGAATTATCTTTTGATATTGTTTTAATTTATTTAGACACATTTCTGTCGAATAAACAATCCATTACTGCACAACTTACTGTTTGCTGTAAATCAAATTATTGTTTTTAACCATTTTATAAATGATAATATTTTTTATTTCATAGATATATACAAAATGTCCCGTAAATTTTTGCCATTGTACTTTTTGCCACGTTTTGCAATTTTCGCAATAGTTAACAAGATATTAATTACTAAAAATTACCAAATATTCTCGTCTTGAATAATTTTTTACTCAAATACTATCAATTTTATAGAAAAGCTGCAAGAGACAAAAATCGTCTATCTTCTTCTCATAAAGTTCTGAGAATTTCTTCAGAATTTTTTTAGAATTTTTTAATATCGTATTTTCTCATGTTGGTAAAAATAAGAAAATGCAGTACTAAAAAGTTAATAAAAAATTCTGAAAAAATTCTCAGAACTTTATGAAAAAAAAATTAATGATTTTTGTCTCTTGCAGTTTTTCTGTAAAGTTGATAGTATTTGAGGAAAAAATTATTCAGGACCGATATTTGGCAATATTTAGTAATTAATATCTTGTTAACTATTGCGAGAATTGCAAAATGGTACAGGACTTTTCGACTCAGTTTAGTCCGCTCTATCTGCACAAAAGCGATTGGCAAAAACTTTTGGGAAATCCTGTATAATCTAAACAAATGGAGTCCTTATTCAATTTTAAGTTTAAAAAATGTCTAAAATTTAATGTCTTATAAAACAGACTTACAGACAAAGAGCAAGGAAAAAAAAGAGGAAAAGAAAAAAAAACTTACTGGACATTCTTTTTCTTTCAAATTCTATTTGCAGTAGCACCGATATATTTAATGTAAAAATACTAAACTTGATAAAATTAATTATTCCAATATATCGACTGATTTCTTTAGTTTAAATAAAATAAGACGGTTTGATCTTTGCGATTCTGCAGCAGTTTGGGTGTATACTTACTACCATTTATCTTATAGTTGTAGGAATATCGCTTAATTTATAAAGCGATGGATATACAATGTACAGTCGCAGTTATAGAACTTTTCGATCACAAAGAGAATTCATCTGTTAAGAGAAACGCAATATACTACTCATAAATATGTGATTGCGAGATACTGTGAAATATATCTCATTGTCTTTTCGTTAGGCTGTTTCACTTTTTGAAAACCTCTAAAAGGAATACGGAAATACTGTTTCAAGGAAATAAATTCTGCGATTAGACGTGAACGTTCGACGAAATATCTGGTCGTTTCGAACAATTACTTTTCTCAATGTCCTTCTTTGACAATCGCTACTATTACCTTAACAAAAGGTTTCTGGCCGTAATCGGCCAATGGCCATTTCAATCGCGACTGGAAAGTAACGTGATGTTCGCCATTACATCTTTGTTCACTTTCAGTTTTATGTCCTTTCTGGTATTTAAAGAAATGCACAACAAGGAAACGTTAAAATCAGCACTGATAATTCGTTTCTGATTTTCGACAGTTTTGGGGCTTAGCAGCTGGGATAACGGATCTGAACATCGTTATGGACAACGTTTCGGAGATACTGGTGAATAGTGTAATCGCTATAAAGCTCATTAATAGCGTGTTTACTAATGACAAAGTTCGTATCTTTCGGCTGTATGAAAAGCTAATTGAATCATTCTGTGATTGTATGTAAATGATTTTTTCGAGCTATAGATGAAAGTACTCCTGCAGGACATCAAAAAGACATGGAAGATAGAACATACAGATGCAGAGAAAAAAATATTACAACATTACGCAGAGAAAAGCAGAACTTTCACGATAGGATACGCCAGTAAGTTACCTTTATTTTAAAATTTGTTTATTTTTTTCTATCGGATACATGTCTGGCAATATATGAGAAATTAATTCTAGCTTTTTATCCTCTCTTTTACTTCGTTCTTGTTATATTGTTATTATTTGTCGAAAATAATGCTTTTTCCTTCATTTTTTTCAAAATATTTCCGAGAGCATTATACAAGTAAGAATGTGTTTGCAAATGTTTTTTGAACATGCAGTCCACATTTTCGTTGTTTTTATTAAACTCCGTTTTCTTTCTGTTAAAATATTGTAACGTTTGAAATATAGAGGAAAATAAGAGGAAAATAAGTAATTTATAGAGAAAAATAAGTGATTTATATTTCTAGTTGCTTTATATGCGTCATGGCTTTTCTACTCAACGACATCAATCGTCGTCAGCGGAATCTATACGATTTTACCAACAAACAAAACATACACTGCCAAGTTCCCATATCGCATAGAACATGTTCTTGATATAGACAAATATTTCGAACTGTTGATGCTTCACGGGTTTATTAGCGTATTCTACATAGTTTCGGTGGTGATAGCCATCGACACAACGTTTGCACTTTACACCCAGCATATCTGCGCGTTGTTCGAATGCTTACGGTAAGTTGCCCTCGCGAAAAAGGTTGTATCAAGATCTCTTTTAAGAAATTCACAGAAAAAAATAAATTCCTGATTCAAGTATATTTTTATTCTTGAACGCTATTTACTTTTATTTAAGTATAAAATGTTCTCTTCAATTATAAATGTTCACCGGCATCAACAGGGTTGGGTAAATTAACTTTTTTTTTAACTCTAAATTAAGATACAAGTTAATTTATAATGAAATTAATTGAATTAAATTTAAGTTAATAAAAAAAAGTAATTGAAAAGTTAAAAGTTAAATTTATTTATTTTTTATTTTTTTATTTCATGAGAGAGATTCCATGGTTTCAGTCTTACAAATAACAGAAATGACAAATACATACTGTAATTAGGAAATACTCTATATTTTATTTACATGTTTTGTTCATATATACTGTTTACATAGACTGTTATATATACTGTTTGAACATTTTGTTCAGATATACTTATTAAATTTAAGTAATAAAACCATTTCGAAATTTTTGTCGGATATCTTTTCTCGCAAGTTATCGAAAGTGAGTCCTCCTGCATTGAACAGCCGATCAACGTAAACCCACGTGACTAAGCCGAATTTGGTATTGATGTGTTATAATTTAATAATAAGGAATAATAGATTTCAATCTATCAGATACTATAGATATATCAAAATACATGGTTTCTGATAGATTGAAAGCGTCGATTGTGTAATTTGAAATTTAATGAAAATTACAAAAGTGAGCAAATTCACTAGAATATTTATAATTTCGTTGGTCAACATCTATTAAATTTGCTTACTTTTGCAATTTTCACCTTATACTAAGCTATCGCTATTGCCGCGTATTATGTCTGAGACTTAACTTAAAAAAAAATTAAATAAAAATTAATAGTTACAGATAAAATATAACAAAATTAAGTTAAGAGTCTAAATTGTAACTAAATTAAGTTAAAATTAATTAATTTTTTTAACTTTTTAACTTAACTTTTATCTTTTTAACTTTGCACTACCCAACCCTGGGCATCAATAATAAATAGATTTATGCAAAGTATATTTTATTCTTAAAATTGTATGTATTCTTGTTTCTAAAATCATTAGTTCTAACAAACTCAATCGTATTATTTGTAAACTATTCATTCTTGGATTAAGAATTACAAATTTAAAAATTCGCCAGCAGGCGGCAACAGTGTGTACAAGGGCCTCTCAGTAATATCAAGATGTCGGAAGTGCATGGGTGTAGTGAATGATAATTGACGTGGTTTTATGAGTGAACTGTTGCATTCGTGGAACATTCCTTTAAATGTGGTTCGATTTTTAAGGGTGGATGAGATATTCAGCTCGTCCTAATGTTTCTGTCAGTTATATTATAAATGGGGATGCGTGAACAGCCGGCCGACTTTGTCCCTGCGACGTGACAATTATAAAGAGGTGCCTATACAAGCGGGCGAATTTTCCGCGGCGGATTGCAGATCTGCTATCCACAGTTAAATGGACGAGATGAGCAATGAATCCGTCGCGGCGGATCCGCCTGTATATGCAAGCCAGCGTTGTCTACCATTGTGTTGACCACAAGGTTGACCGTCTGTTTGCATATTACTTATTTGCAATATGGCTAACGGAGGTATTGATAAAACGGTTTCAACATTTCACTTACCTTTGAGCTACATTAATAGAGGGTATAATCCAAATTTGATTCAGTTTATCGTCACTTACTGCAGTATTGATTTCTGTTATCTTAATATTACTGGAAAACATACTGTGGATTTGAAATAAGTTGACAAAAGGTATCATTGAAAAAAATAATGCTAATATAAGCATATTTAATGTTGAACACATGTGCAACTTTATTCTTTTATTGAAATAAAATTTGTTTTTAACTAAGAATAAAATTTATTTTATTTTACGAATAATTTATTGTTAATCGGAAATTGTTTATTCTTGGCGCTATTCTAAGCATAAAATATTCTTGGGTTAAAACATTTATGCATTTCTTTAAGAATTTATTTTTTTGTGCAAGGCTCGGATTTTGTATCACTCGAACCAAATATTAAGGATGATGAAACGTATCGTGACATAATTGGCTGCATCAAATCGTATCAACATGCCTTAAAGTTAGTATTAACGTAGTTATGTGCGCGCGCGTGTGTGTGTGCGTGCAATACTTTCACAGTATATTCTAGAGATAAAGTATCCGGAAAAAGATTGAAAATACGAAAATGGACATGCAAATCCGAGTAATTGGCAGAAAAATAGATCGCAGAAAGCTACATGCAAGAATAAATTACCCTTAATTTGCTGTGCCGAGGACACTGAGGGTTGTGCTGACTTGTGCTAGGTTAGCACAACTCATATTTAAAATATTGTTTAAAAAATCGCAAAATGGGAGGCTGGCCTAAAAAATCGTTCTTTTTTTCATTTTTTAACGTATTTTTTGTGTTTTGACTTTAATACTCGAACACAATGTAGCACAAACCTAGCACAATTCTCAAAATAATTCTAAAAGTGGAGGGCTAACTTAGTATAAGCCTCTGGAATACACTTTAAAAATATTGTACGATAGTTGTTAGACACCCCGTGTATATATATATATGTATATATATGTATACACAGGGTATCCGAATTCTTCCGACAGAGTTCGTGGACATATAGAATGGACTAAATAATGGAATAATTAATTTACTTATAATTTAGTCTACTTATCAAGATTAATACATAAAGCTCAATTGAATAGAACAATTTAAAAGATATCAAGGATTAAGAGCAAAAGCTGATTTTTAGTTGTTAATATTTAACAATCTTTACAAAATAATATACATTAAAACAGACGTTTCGACCATAATCTATTTAAACAAATTTAATGTATAAACAATATCAAATCTTATAGGAGACCTAATCTAATCAAATATAATGTATATTATGTAATGTATACTATGTATGTATACTGTATGAAACCAAAGGCAACAGCCGGTTGTAATCCGCCGAACATGATACGCTAGTGCGACACGATCGCCACATGCATAACATCGCTATAACAATAATCATACTGACTAACTACATTTGGAATATAAGAAGAAGAGAGAAGTAACATATTTTAATGATTTTTACTGCTTTAGCATGTTATAAGAACGAATCAAATTAGGCTTTTTAAATGATATTGTAATAAGTATAGAAATTTTACTAAATATCAATTGTGCTTGTTACTTATAGTAAAACAACGTTGAATATTATAGTATAACAATATGACCTAATTATGGTCGAAATGTTTGTTTTAATGTAGTTTTAATGTATATTATTTTGTAAGGATTATTAAATATTAGCAACTAACAATCAGCTTTTGCTCTTAATTTAATCTTTTAAATTGTTCTATTCAATTGAGCTTTATGTATTAATTTTGATAAATAGACTAAATTATTTTATTATTTTATATTTTTACATGTAGATTTTCTGATGTGTTCTCATCTAACTATGCAACATCATTTCTCTTTCAACTGGGCAATGTAATTATATCTTTGAGCTTCGGCGCGGCTGAGGTAAACATTTGAAATACATAAGTGAGTGCAAAAAAAATATTCGTACAGAGTAAAATATTTTTTTAAAAAACTTTATTTTTAAAATTAAATATTATCCAGTGAGAAATGAGTCATCGAAATGATGTCGAATTGATACAAATACGATGATTTCAACATCGATTTGACGTCGATTCGACGTTTAATTGACGATCATTTCTTATTGGATAATTAACTATTTATTCATAAAGAATAAAATAAACTGTATGTTTCTTAAAATTATATATACCAAAAAGATACGTATTAATTAAAACAAAATATATCATTTGAAAAAAAGCGAAAATTAAAAATTTTATTGTTTGAATGCTCAAAAAGTATTCATACAGATGATAAATTTATAGCTTCTAAAATCAGGAATACATGCGAAGCTCGTTTGTTTATGTTAGAACAGAATGTATTCATTGTATAAAATTGCTAATTAATGTTTGTTTTCTACAAATAAGACTTTTTTTATAACAAATTTCCTTGTATGAATACTTTTTGTTCTCACTGTATATGGAAGTTTTAAACGATAATTGCTTTTTTATTTGAAAACATCTAATAACATGTAATTTTAGTTAATAATGGTAGACAATCAATTGGGCGAAATTATCAGAATTCTTGCTTCTACTTTATCGCAATTGATACATATATATTTCCTAAGTTTGATTTCTCAAAGATTGATTGATCACAGCAGCGGATTCCAAAACGTAATGTACGCAATTAATTACATTTGCTAGCTAACATTTGCTTATATCAGAAAAGATGCATGTGTAAAATCAGAAAAAATATATTTTAGCTGTTTTATGTATTTATTTTTCGTTTTAAACAATTAAATGGTCAATGTCGTCATTTTGTAGGCTAAAATTACATGAATACTAACTCAAGTGTGAAATGCATTAACAGTTACAGCTGCGATTGGTATAACATTTCGAAATCGAAACATCTCTTGAGATTTACTTTGCTGCGTACTACTAAGCCGTGCCAAATAATAGCTGGTAATATGTTTGTAATGTCGATGGAGACTTTTAACTCGGTACGTGTAAACGTAACATTATTTTGGTAATTATTTAAAATACATTATTGTAATATTATTTTTAGATCTTAAAAGTATCTTTATCGTACTTCACGATGCTTACGTCACTACAAGTATCGTAACTGAAGGTTTGTAATGGAATTAGAAATTGTATAGTCTCTGGCGTAATCAATATCATTATTGTCCTCGTCTATTAACCATTTAATTTACTATATCAAATATATAAATTAAAACATTTTGCTAGTGCACTAATTAAAACATTTTTTTAATATTGTCAATTTTGTATTGATATGTGTTACGTACATTTTAAATAACCCGCGAATTGATATAATCATAAGTTACTAGCGCCAATGTAGCGGCAACATTTTGTACGGAAGAGTCCCTATAATGAGAGTGGGGACATGAGACTGGAAGAACGCCACTGTCAGGCCCCGGCCGGAAACAGCAAATAACGCGCGCGCAATTCAAAGTTTTGGTAATAGTAAAATTTGGTAATAGTAAAAAATTATAATCACAATATCCGTAATTATTGATTAAATCATGTTGCATATGTATACAGATTAGTTTGTCGATTTTAACTCACCATTTTTGCCGGGCTTCATCGTAAAAAGCCAATTTATAAACACAATATAACATACCTCACATAACACTGAATTTTTTGTCGGATTCCAATTTGGTTTGTCCAGTACTCAAACTACCGCAATCCACTGGGTTCTCCTGTCATCTTTAGGGAACATTGATGTCTTGATCCCTTGTGTTGATCTCGAATTATCAATTATAGTTTCAATTCATTTTTTTTTCAATTTGTTGAAAAATTTTAATGAAAAAAATATTAAAAAAGTTTTAATACAAAATAATTAATATAAGAAATAAAATTTATTTAAAAAAAGTGTATTAAAAAAAATTATATATGTGTATACTGCGTATGTCTGTACACTAGTTCATTCTTATTTAATAATCTTAATTCAATAATGAAACTTCAATGATGAGTGGGCTATTGGAGCCTTACGCAAGTTATTATATTGCGAATAATGAAATCAATATAAAGATATTATTTAACAAATTATATTTAAATTCAAACAATCGAATCAATTCAATCAAACGCCATTTCGATCTTTGGTCATCTTCAGTGATTTTACACATTAAAACCTTCTTAAAAACCAATACAATATGTTAACTTCTATGTATATATAAGAACTAAAATTCTTCATTCGTCAAGTATATAAAATTCGTTCTTCGTTACCATATTAGTTCTACTAAATGTTGTCACACATCTTATTATTATATCCCTGGTTACGTTACGTTATGTTATGTGGAACATCGCAGATCCGAGGATTATCTTTGCATTGATATCATTATTCGCAATATAATAACTTGCGTAAGGCTCCAATAGCCTACTCATCATTGAAGTTTTATTATTGAATTTATTTGAGCCGGTTTTCTATTAATTGTTAATCTTAATTCATTCTTTCTTCAATCTGTTTAACATTGTAATATCATCAGTTAATACATCATTCAGTTGACAGATCATTCGTGGCGACAAGTGACACTAGTAAACAACAGACCGTATATAATTACAAATATATGTAAAATAATAAAAGTGAAAAGATTATTGAAAATTATTCAAAGTTTGTTGATAATTTATAATCTATATAACACTGTATGATAGTATCTTGAAAAATTTATATTTTAGAACTGTGAACAATATTTTTTGAAAATAGCGCTTCCGATAAACTCGCACTGAGAGAAAAGATTTTATTATAGGAACAAATCAAGGGAAAGCAAATGTGATATTTGTTAAAAAAACAATCGAATTATTACGATTGCAAATTAATTCGTCAATGTAACAAATAATCAATGGTATCGCTAGCAAATAAGAGGCTCATATATATATAAAAGTCGTAGACGGTTGCAGGGTCTCAAATCGTAAGAAATTGATTAATTCTAGTCAAGTATTCTCCCTATATTTGACTGTGCTTGATCGGTTTCCTACAACTTAAGACTCCACGATCATCTACGAATTCTATGTAAACGAGCTAAAGTCTATCCAAAAGATAGGTTAGATTCTATATAGTTTGTTTCTGTTACTAATAATTAGTTGGTATAGCAGACTAGCAGCAATCACAACAACATAATTTGTTGTTACATATTTACCGATCACCGATTAAAGGTACTGGTGGCTTGCTAAATTAACAAAATCCTTTCTCTTTATAGTGCGATATAACTAATTCCTGACTGGATCTTTTGGTTTAAATAAAATAAGGCAGTTTTTGCGATTTTGCAGTTTGCATGCAGATTACTACCATTTATCTTATAGTTTTAGGAACTTGCTCGATTTATAAAGCGATGGATATACAATGTACAGTCGCAGTTATAGATCTTTTCAATCACGAAAAGAGTCGTCCATTGAGAGACAAGAGATTACTCATAAATATGTGATTGGTACTGCGGGATATATCTCATCGTTTTG